TTTTAATAGGTACCTTAAAAGTATCTTACTTTATTTTATACAATTTTCGAAAGCACATTTAAAAAATCATGTCTGCAATACAGGAATGGAATGCGTCGTAGTATTTGTAGGAAACCGCTACGAAATTTGTCTACCACTAACAACGTCGTAGTATGCGTAGTCGACCACTACGAAATTTGTCTACAACTACGACGCAGTAATCGTAGTAGACTACTACGAAATATGTCCGGAACTAACAACGTCATAGTATGCATAATAGACCCCCATAAAAAATGTCTACAACTACGTCGTATTAATCGTAGTAGACCGCTACGAAATTTGTCTCCAACTAACAACGTCGTAGTATGCGTAGTAGACCACTATGAAATTTTGCTACGTTGTAACTACGTTGTAGTCTTTGCAGTAGTCTACTACAAAATGTTGTGATCTACTAAAATTGATGCATTTCTTCGTGATATTCATCATAGACGATTCATTTCATATTTTTTGCTAAGTCTTTTGAATTAATCTGTTAGGTTTTTAGACTTATTTATTTGCCGGGGCTCCGGCTCGAAGTGCTGGAGTAGGAACGGGGCGGTTTAGTCAGTATCCCCTACAAAAAAAATGCTTTAGCAGACTGGTTCCATTGATTGGTTGTTATTTCCAGCGCAATGAGTAATTCGTGTAACGTTTTGATATATTTTAATATTAAATTGTTGTGACGCTGCGCGGTGCCTGTCGAGCTTAGCTATTCTCACATGAGACTCAACATGTAAAAACGACAAATTAATAGTACAAAATCCGAATATATCAGCGTCGATGGCTTGTCGAAACTTTAGTAACACATGTTCTTGAGCGTTTTGAAAAAGTTTAAGTATAGGAAGGGCGCGATCAATCACCAACAATGGTAGAAAGTAGAGACCCTCTAGGGAAAAAAGTTGAACGGGGTTTAGGTGATTTATCGGTGTAGTTAGAATTATCGCCATTTGCAATTCTTGGCGTGGCGGGTTTAGCAAACAAGTTGAGATAACGACTTGTGGGAGGCGACGCCGACGGCCGCTTGCGGAACTTCACGCATTCTTTGTCTTACGCAGTGTTGTTTGCAGTTCTAATGGTTTACATGTAACTAAGTTAACGTTGTTACATTACCTTGTATGTTTAAAGTTGAAAACGAAATTTTGAAATCATAGATTTTAGAAATATAGTTTTTTTATGGAATACGAGGCAAACGAGCAGACGGATCACCTGATGGTAAGCGATCAGCGCCGCCCATGGACACCCGAAACACCAGAGGAGTCACAGGTGCGTTGCCGGCCCTTTAAAAAAGAATACGCTCTTTTCTTGAAGGTTTGAAGTATAGTATAATGAACCCATTATTATTTTGCTTACAAGTCTATTATCTAAATTAACACCAGACTGGTACTGTGAATAAAATTAGATAGGGTTTATGAACAAAGACGTATTCCTTAACTCGTCGAGTACCGGTTTTATAGACACAATTAAAGAACAATAGGTCGCGGTCACCGGTGACTGCTCGGTGTTTGACAGATCCACTTAATAATGGATGGTTTTTAATAGCCACGATAGAACTATCCATTGCCAAACTTCACTCTAGTGAAATAATAGGGTAGATGACTAATTTTTATTTTAATGTCCGTCTGGTAGATAACTTAGAAAAATTAGACACGTATGTTTAATGTATTTAAGGAAACTAATATTATCGAAGATATAGCTATTGATTTAAAATAACATATGACGTCACTTTTGAGTAAGATTTATACTCTGAAATGACGTAGCTACTTCCCACTCCCTAAACTTTGATTCGTTTTATCTAAGTATTGTTTTCTTATACGACAAAATAAAAAATATATGCCTAATATTTTTTCATTACCTAACTGACGGACTACCTATATAGATTTTTAATTTTCATATCCTGTCATTATCTCTATTGTAATATAACAGGCTGTATACCCACATTTACAGTAAGTTCTCCACCACTCACGGTCCTGGTACCGAGGCGCCGACAGACGACACCCGTGGGACATCTCAACGACTTGTCTAAACTTCCCCAGTCACTATGTCTCCATCCTTGTATGTGTAACGTACTGCCCAATAGCCAGTACGTTACACAGATTCTGAAAGATGAATACTATAATGATGATGAATAATAATAATGAATATCGAAACGTCAAAAACGATATTGTTTTATGAATTTTGTACGAAATACTAACTTATGACGTCATCACATTTTTGAGTCAACTAGCATAATACTTATTTCTGAAAAAATTGCTAGAATAAATCGAAAATAAAGTATATCATCAAATCAATGAATGAAAGTGTAATTATTTTTTTATTTTTATTGGTGATTTAAAATCAAAATTATTTATTTTTGCCCCAGGAAACTACCTACCCAATTGTCGATGGTTCTTTGTATTAGGTAGTAGCTTTATTTAGCTATACCTAGATATATAATCTTATAGGCAATCATTATAGTTTCTACACTAAACATGGGGTAAACAAACAATTACCTAGGTACTCAACTAATTAGCGTGATAAATTAATAATAATTAACAATTATAATGGTATAAAGTATTGGATTTAAATATTTTATTACAAGTACCTATGATAAGTAATTTCAATTACTAATGTTCAACTCACGACAGCAGAAATTCATTAGTAAATCATTTATGAAACGCTTTTTCCCTACCTACATCGAATAATAATCAATGTATAATAGAAGATAAATTATAGGGATGATGACGGGATGTGTAAATTAAAAATCTATTGAGTCCGTCAATTAGGTAATGAAAAAACATTAGACACGTATTTTTTATTTTGTCCTATAATAAAAAAATACTGAGATAAAACGAATCAAAGTTTAGGAGTGGGGGCTAAAACGTCATTTCTACGTATAAAATGTAGATACATAGAAGTGACGTCACGTAACATTTCGAATCAATATGTCGCCGAAAGTATTCGTTTCTGTAAGAAAATAAAAAATACGTGTCTAATATTTTAAAATAATCTACCAGACGGACCAAACATTAGGCATCTACCTTATTATAATTACCTATACCAAATGAGATACCTTACAATCATAGAACCAATTCTTCAGCACAAAGCCATTATTTGCGTCTTTGATTCTTCGTATTTACCTAATCATAAACGTTAGACATGTATACCCATATCGCATACCATTTATTCAAAGCTTGTCGCCAACTAACAACCAACAACGAAACTCCTTACAAAATATAATCGGCGCCAACATTGGGCGACATAATTTAATTCGAGAGTCGAGCTATGCACTTGTATGTACTAGCGAACAACTTAGACTACACGCAATTAAAATGTGGAATAACAACATTAAAGACAAACAGGTTCTTAATAAATTGATAACATCTAAACACGAGCGTTGATAGCCATCGTGATTGATCAGATAACTTGTTGAGTGCATTACACCAACTTGTGGTTATGGTAATTATACTAAGTACAGCCGATTTAAATATTACAGGTATTATCAATCTTGAATCGACCAATGAAAGTTAATGGTTAATAAATTATATGTCTTATATTTTTCGTTCGTGGGTAACGGTTAGTCTTCAGTCTACATCGAGAGTGCTTTCATGTAGGGTGAAGAGCTCAGGCTCTCAGATTTTCAGAAATCTGATAGCAGAAATGATAAAAAATTATTATCGAAGCCACTGTGGCATTCAGCCAAATGTTATTAAAACTAGTCCACTAGAGCACACCAGTCGGTATACTTACAAAGCAATTTCAGATATTTTGGGTATTTGTAGGTCCCTGAGCCCTACAAATACCTAAAAACTAAAGCTAATTAGCACGTGACAACCCTCCTCATGTCCCGCAGATGACTTTATAATGTCTGTGAAATAAAGCTAAACGTTAATGTAGCACACAGGCAATCACAAACAGTGTAGTGGCAATAAATGGTCCTAACAATGGTGTAATCACCGGTCTTTCGACCCTTAACCCTCGCTCAAGTTAACACCGTCAGACGGCGGTCGTCAAGACCGAAAGACATTAAACTCAATGTAACGCCGCGGCGGACCCGTATGGCCGCTCAGCGATTATCTTAAAGTTAACCCTGTCGTTACGATCCTTATTTGCGGTTGCACTGAGCTGAGAACGCTCCCCGCCTGTTAAGTTAGGATCACATCAAATTATATTGGAAAGTAAATTTTAACACATCTGGTGAGCGTACGGTCCTTTCAGGTGGTGCTTTTTTTTAAATTTGAAAATTACATAATAATAGCTGTCGAAGCGGTCGCGAACAGCAGTGATTACAGAAATTGAACACAAAAAATATCTTTTTACCGATAAGTTCTTAAATTGATATATCAGTAGCTTGGACTCTATTTCTAAAGTTGTTGTTGACTGGTTGTTTACCTAAATAGGTACCTATAATACAGTATGATGGTTGTAATAGGCATGTACTTTTTAGGGAAACAATTATAAATCTTAAAAATCGCATTAAAAATTTTCTACACCCTCAACTAAGGAAGTCCAACCCTACAGTTCATGTTTCTAATATATACCTACTATAAAAAAGCTCGATACAAATAAATATCAGTTAGAGCAGACACCAATGTGAACGCAGCCATACTCGTCCTCCTTGTAAGAGTAACAAGGCACTCCGGCAGTTACAATGTTCTCCGAATGAGATGCGACTCGGATGGCCGCTTTGCGTCACCACCTAGCCATTTGTCCGATATTGGACCGTTACAACTGAACCCCGCACACGTCAGCTTCGATTATGTGCTTCCCATACTCGTACTTTTGTTTTCAATGCTCTGTAGAATGTTTGGTTTGTAACCAGAATAATAAGAATTGAATTTTCGTAGAACTAACTTTCTGTTTACGTAGTTTTAGGTACATAATGATGATGAGATAGCCCAAAGGGAGGTAGATATTATAAAATAACAAGTCTAAAATTAGAAATGTAAAACAATTTATTGATTTCAAATTTATTAAAACTCTGTAAAATTGACAAAGTCTAACAATCAATATTTAGCTTTTCCCATGCTTTCTACATACTGAATATATTTTTCTCCGATACTCACATCATTATTAATAACTGGCACAGAAGCACTCAATAGAAATGATTCGTAATCATTGAAGGTAAGTTGCTGGCATGGTCGACTTATTATGCCATAAGGTCCTACGGTGGTTGGACCAGAAAAAAACCTTGTACCAAAATTTGGATTAGCAGTATAGCTATTTACTATAACTTCACTACCACAAAGAGCATCAAATATTAAATCACAAAATTCGTTAATAGACCAAGCGACTCCCAAAACAGCTGCTTCGCTGCCTTGTTTTTGAAATACTATTTCTGTTCCGGCCTTCCTCAAAAGACGCGTTAATGAATCTGCTTGGCAAGGATCTATGCTATAGTCCACTGGTGTAATATTTGAGAATAAAGGTATTACTGTGTCGTCTGAATGTCCCCCAATAACAGGCAGGAATAAGTTTCTACTGCTTACATTCAAAGCGTTTGCAGTGTAAGTTCGTGCTCTGGTTGTATCTATGTGCGTCACGCCAAATACCTTAAAAGGATTGTAAGTTCCATATTTATACAAAAGTGCGCTTGCAAAAGGTACCAAAGAATTTAAAGGGATCGTTGCGATTGCAAAAAAAGCTGTCGGATTCTCGTCAGCCATTGCTCGACATAACTTATGCAAAGCGGGAGCGTTAGCTGCCAGCATTTGCTCCCTCGAATTTCCTGGTTTGCGAGGAACTCTATGCACCATCACGATGAGATCAGAGCCTCGGACCGCTGCATGCAAATTATTATTCCCAACGAATGCGGTAACTTCAGGCCCTCCTGGCAAAAGAGACAATTCCATAGCAGTCCCCATTATTTTCTCGTCATCGTCATACAACTGCAATCTCTGTAATTTGTTGTTCTGTTTCAACAACAGTGACAAGTTAGATCCAACCTCTCCTGCCGCTCCGATAACAGAAGCTTGAATATTTCTCATCTGCATACATTTTATATTATTACAAAAAAATATATATTGGTTTAGTAATTTCCTGGTAAACATGGTAGGTTAAAGGTTTATTTGTTTGGTACTATATTTTTACAGAATTTTAATAGATCTCAAAATGTTTCTTACATTGTAAATAAATTTTGATTTCTCGATTGCCAAAGAATAACACATCACAGACTAGAGATTTGAGTCAACGACCTATACTTATTATACTCTTTGGTCAACGAGCATTTAACCCCCAAAGAGTAAGTAAGTAAGTAGGTATAGAGGAATTAACAATTATACTTATTATACTCTTTAGTGTATAAAAAGTACCTATAGGCGTTATTGCTGTATTTATTGTTCCGAGTATTACATCCATGCCATTGCCAAATAATAAAAGTACAGGGTGTCTCACGGCAGAGTTAGGATTTTAAATTTGAATATTTTAAAAACCGTTTGCAAGTAAGCGCGGGGGGAGAAACGCAGTAGCTTCGTCATTCGTGATTCGTTAGTCACGATGTCGCAGTTGTCGGGTGAGCACCGCGCGTTCGCTATCGAAGCGTTTTTGAAAGGTGGAGAATCGTATGTCGGGGCTCGAAGACAGTTTTGTTCTCACTACAATATCAGACGTTTACGCGATGGACCAAGCGAAAATTTGATTCGTAAATGGGTTATCAAGTTTCGAGCTACCGGTTCCGCTATAAATCAATCGCGTCCGGGCACAAGCAGAACTTCAAGAACGGAAGAAACAATAAACGAAGTTGCAGCTAGCGTTCGACGTAATCCACGCTTGTCAATACGCAAAAGAGCGGCGGCTTTAAACGTCACCAAATCAACCGTAGAGCGGATTTTAAAACGTGATTTCAAATTCCATCCCTATAAAATACAGATAGTGCAGGAAATAAATGAAAATGACTACAATTTACATAAAAGTTTTTGCCAGACAATCATTGAGAGATTTCAATACTTTGAATACTGTGTTTTGGAGTGATGAAGCACATTTCCATTTGAATGGATATGTTAACAAACAAAATTGTCACTTTTGGTCAAAAGTCAATCCCAGACAAAAACATCAAAGACCGCTGCATAGCCCAAAAGTGACAGTGTGGTATGCTCTTTCGGTCAATGGAATAATCGGGCCGTATTTTTTTTAAATGCGACAGGTGCTGCGATAACCGTTTCTAGTGAGGCTTATCGGCAAATGATAGCCAATTATTTTATACCCCAACTTCGAGAGCATCCAGCCTACAGCTCAAGAACGTGGTTTCAGCAGGATGGAGCCACTTGCCACACTGCAAGAGCCACTATGGACCAAATTCGTAAATTGTTTCCTCAAAAATTGATATCCCGCTTTGGTGATATTGCGTGGCCTCCGCGATTACCAGATTTGACCCCATGGACTTTTTCCTATGGGGGTACCTTAAGAGTAAAATTTACGTCAATACCCCGAGGAATATCGCTGAGCTAAAACAAAATATCCAACAAGAAATACGCGACATCGAGCCGGCTATGCTTAGGCGCGTTATGCAAAATGCGATGAATCGATTCCGTGAGTGCGTGCTACGAAATGGAAGACATCTGGAAGATGTAATCTTTAAAAAATAAAATGCGCATTATAGTCCAATACTTTTAAATAAAAATCTTTTCACAAAAATATGCAAATTGACTTTTATTTCATTTCAAAATCCTAACTCTGCCGTGAGACACCCTGTAGAAAGACGGACGGAACCGTAAAGTAGGTTCCAATCTACATAAATACATGCAAGGGCGTTGAAAATACATGATATTCTTGTTTTGTTTCAACAAAATAAATCTTGAAATACCAGAAACAAAAAAACGTGAAATCTAAATCTCGCCATATTTTGTTAGAACATAGGTTTAACCAAAATTTAACTAGGATTTTATAGTTTTTATTTGTGTTGTAGTAGGTACTAGAACCTCAAACTATATTGGCACATGCAGGCACATGACCTCTTTTATCCGCCGTGACGCATTTTCACACCGATTGGATCTAAAATGAAATGTCAAATAATCGTATTTCGATCAAACATTTTATAACACAATCAAAAAAACTATCCATATTAAATAGCTGCACCCAAACCAAAAACTAAAAAATGTGATATAAAGTAAGGTAAATAAAGTAAATGAAATTTTACAGTAAAAATAAGCCATGAAAATGAACAAATTACTGACCAAAAATATTTTTCAACTGTTCACAACATCCAAAAGACATTATCAAGTCACTGTGGCTGGCGGGGCGAGCGATGTCGGACAAACACTGTGCTTGCTGCTACGGTCAGAGCCCGCGATCACAAAACTCGTAGTGCATGATACAAGGGCTCATACACCAGGAGTAGTGTTGGATCTGACACACATACCTAGCGAGGTTGAAGTACAAGGGTACACAGGAGACGATACTCTGGAGTTAGCTCTGAAAAATGCTCACATCGTAATCGGGGCCGGTGGAATCATACGAAAGCCGGGTATTCCTGAAAAATTGTGGCTGTCAAATAACACGGCTTTCATCAAAACATTATCGATACAAGTCGCCAAAATGAATCCTATACCATTTTTTGGTATAGTTACGGAGCCTATAAATTGCCTCGTACCGGTAGCGACAGAAGTATTGCGGAATCACGGACAGTATGATCCAAAGAAACTTTTCGGCGTTACTGGTTTAGACGCTTTGCGTGCTCAAACCTTGTTTGCTGATGAGAACAACATAAGCCCCCGCAACTGTATAGTACCAGTGATCGGCGGGCATTCTCCAAAAACTCTTATTCCTCTGCTCTCTCAAAGCCATCCAGCTGCAGATATAGACGCTCAAATTTCACAAGATTTTACTATAAAGTACCGTAAATTGGATGAGAAAATAATGAATGCTAAAAGGGGATGTTCACCTGTTCTCTCTGTTGCATACAGCGCTTTGCTTTTTACTCGCAGTGTGCTAAACGCTCTAGATGGTCGGCGAGCTAGAGTGCATGCGTTCATAGAGAATAACGACTTTGGCACGGCTTACTTCGGAGGACTTGTAGATATCAACAACGAAGGAGTCAAAGACATGCAAAGGTATTCAAGTCTCACACCATATGAATGTCAGTTGTTAGAGCAAAGCGTCAATGAGTTGCGCAAAGATGTGTTGAAAGGAAAGAAAGTTTTAGAATTAGCCTAAATAAAATTAAAGTTGTAAAAAAAACATTTACATGTCGAAATAAAGTAGCGAATTGTCTAAAATAGTAAGTTAATAAAAACTTTTAACCAATTTACGAATATTTATTTACATAAGGTATTACAATAAGATTTATACAGAGTACGTTTGTACCATCAACAACCTAATGAAAATAATCATATCACAGAGAATAATTAATTAATGTTGATTTAACTTCTGGACAGTTTTAATAATTATAATCATACGTAATAAACGTTGTTTGCAATTATAGTTGAAAATAGAATTGATATATACAAAATCTTGGTTTCCTTTTCTTCTTGTACTCTAGAAATATGTAAACTTGGAAAAGGACGGACATATTACCAAATATTGCAACTGTATTACAAACAACGCTTAAAATAAGACTTCAATAGTTTAAACAAATCCAATCTTGGTCCCGCAAACCACAAACACAATACAAAATATCTTTTTTTTGTAAAAGTCCAAGGAGATAAATCCATATACAAAATCACTCGACTTGGTATCAGTCAACAAAAAGTTTGCAGACTGCGGGCTAACTTAATATATAACTGGCGATTACTACATCTAAGCTAAATTAGGAATCAAATACTGAACACTTCACTTTTGGCTAATCAATTGATTTAATAGAATTCATTTACTCATCTTTCCAATCGAGACAAATCATGATATAACACATTTCAAACTACACTACTTCACGACCACATATAAAACAACATTTCAGTTACATGAACATTTGTAAAAAGGGTATAACTACTTACAATAAAATTCTTCGCGAAATATATTATTCGATCAAATAGAAAACAAAATCAAACAGTCTAATTTAGAATTTCCTCACGTTCTATTAACATAAAATGAAAATGTATGTAACACTAAGTTTCCTACTAGGGAAACTCTCTACCTATACCACCATCGAGCAAATCAACAATCACACCGACCACGAACCACAAACGCCAAAAATCGCAATCAGATCTTCTACCTGAAACAATCAAAATGCAAATTCAATTAAAATATTTGGTAAAACAACAAGTTTATTTGGAAGTTGTATGTATGAATTAACATAATAAAATAGTTACTTACAATATCTCAATGCTAGGGGAAACACTTTAAAAAAAATAAAAGGCAGATGTTAATTCATTAATGAGCCATTGCCTTCGCAGCAAAGAACTTTAATATGTAAAAAATATTACTTAATCATATTGTTGTGGATTAAACACCGCCACAACAAAAGTGCTACACTTTAAAAACTATTTCATGTAATACAAGAGACAAGTAGACACTTGAAGAGGCAGTTACTAAGACATAAATGGAAACAGTATCTTACCATTTTATTCCTCATTGCTTTTACTCATTTCACTGCCAGATTCACTAACAGATGTTGACCGAATGCTTATTGATGTGTCCTTAAACTGACTGATAAAATCTAGGAGCTTCTGGAGATTTCTTTGTGTCTTTATCTGGTCAGCCAGGAGCTGTCGCTTCTCAGCATTGTGTTCATCCAAATTCTCTTTGAGACTAGCAGCTCTCATTTCAAGTTTGCGTAGTTCCACACATAGTTTTATGTTCTTCTCTTGAAGGCTTTTTCTCTCAGCTAGTTTATCTGAAATAAATAGTTTATTGATATTCTATTATCGTACGTAATGTGCCCCTGTGCCTACCACTTCAGGATTTAAAGGCGTAACTGTGTGTTACTATTATATTACCATAAAATCATACAACATATGCATCGAAAGTCTTACGGCATATCGTAAATTAGCGTTAGTTATCAGTTGTATTGTTAAAACTTATTTTTAATTTATGTATTATGTATCATATCATCATATGGATCATGGTGTACTCTAAAACCATGACCAGCTCTGAAAATGATAGAGGATTTGATTATGTCCATTCCCTTGAAGGTGAAGGCCTCTGATTGGCAATGGATGACTTCTGACTGATGGTTATAGTAATGATGGTATTGTAAAGGGTATGTTAGTCACCTCTGTAGAGTTGTTTGTGCAGTAGCGGGTCGGGGTCGGGGTCGTGGTCCCTGGGCGCGTGCGTGGGGTCGGGCAGCAGGGCCCCGCAGTCGCAGCGCGCCGCCGTACGCCCGCAGCCCGTGTGCTGCCACGCGCCGCACGCGCCGCACCATGCCAGCAGGGACGCCACGTCTGTACAATGTCACATACAATACACCATAACAACTACGAATGATACTTAAATATATTTTTTCTCTTCTCAAGTTGTTATTTCGTTGCTGAACATCAGGACATTATTGTTATTGTATAATTGAATAATAGACAATTATTTTTAAACAGGACCAACATCTTGTTTGATAACTTTTTTTATACTTGATAGGCTCAGCATTGGCCACTATGTCGCCTGGTGGTTAGCGATGATGTGGTCGATGAAGGAGCACGTCTACCTATAAGCAACCTCGAGTACCTACTAGAGATTTGAAAAAATATTCTAATTTCAGTGTCCATAAAGATGTACACTAGATTTTCCCTGAAATTATCCTGCGACTCCTCTGATGTTGCGGGTGTCAATCGGCGACGCTGATCGCTTACGCAATAAATAAAGAAGATTATTCGAATAATAAAAAAAGTGGAATGAGGTAATAAATGTACCTATTTTCACATTTTATTTTATTATATTAGGTATGTCAAACATAAACATACACTTACCATTTCGTCCACACACTTGACACACTTTTTTATGTGTTGGATACACGGGCTCCACAGATAAACTTGCGGGTAGAGTCGCCGCCCACGCAGGCTTACCATTAGTCCATCCTGTTGACACAGTAGCAAAATAAATATTTCATATAGACTTGGAAAAATATTTGAATTTTAGATGATAAACAAGAGCTGAGTTGATTGTGTGGGAAATGATATAACAAAAGGTTCATAAAAGCAATATATTTTGCTAGAAAAGAACAGTAGTGAGAACCTGATTAAGGTCGCAGGGAGGCGCTGTATGCAGGTTGCTTCCAACCATATTTGGAAGTCATGGAGGAGGTCTATCATCTGCAGTGGACGTCCTGTGGCTGATATGGTGATGACGATGATGATGAACAGTAGTGGCTTAGGACAAAGGCAGGTAGATGATGAAATGGTAAATTAATTAGAAATACCTTTATTTTCAGTTGAAGAACCTGAGGGAGAGCCTTCACGAGAAGTTTTGGTCTGCGACTGAAACATACAAATTATAATTATAAGAAATGATAACATGTAAACATTCCAAGACATTTTTCCTTATTTGTTCATTCTGTCACAATGTGACAAAGTAAAAATTCACGAATAATTTAGAAAATGTACTAAAGATTATGTACATTTATATTTCTCACCTGCTGTTTCCTGAGTTTAGCAGATCTGGTCTGTGGAGGATCATTGTGGGTTTGCAGATAGGGAAATTGGTTGTACTTTTTCTTTTTCTAAAGGAATAAAAAACAATATTACATTAATATTATAGTACATAACAAAATGGGAAGAGAAATAAATAAACTATTAATTAAAGTTACATTAGATATAGGCATTCACTTTATACTCACCGGTAACATATCATAATTTCCATAAAGAAAATCATTTCTATTTGTACTTGTAGTGGACCTCTTGCGGCGCTCACTTCTCTTCTTCTCCAAAAGTTCCTTTTGTAGTGGTGTTATCAAACCAATGAGTCTAAAATATTTTAAATACCATTATTAAAACAGTATGATTGAGCACATATTTATGGGGATTAAACCAAGCCAAGATAATTAATTAGTGTCCATTTATAAAGCAATTTAGAACATGTGTATCACATGTCTTAATTTAAGTCTATTTTTAACTCGATCAACTGAATAATAATAATCCAATACTCCATCTGCTAATTTATACACAAATAAGTTTCAACATCAAAAGTAAATACCTTAAGAAAACCTCTTTTGTGACAGGTTCTCCAGGCTCTGGTAGTGGCGGGGGCGAAGGCGTCGGTGACAGAGCCACGCCTTGCGATGAATCCGAGTCAGATTTTTGTTCTTGCCACTCATTATTTTCCTGATGCTTTGGGCCACTATAAACAAATACATAGTACAATAAAAATATTATTCTAGATAGTAACATTATTCAAAACATACGATTTTTAAAGGATAATAACTTGTCATATACAACATGTACTATTGTTATTAAAAAATCATTAACCAAATTAGCTAGAATTAACTAGAATAAGCTTATTATTAGTTAATTATATACATTAAATTATTTCTTATTGTTACTATTACTTGAATGAGTTGCAAAGATAGCATATCAAATCTGTATAACTGGTAATGATTAGCAATTATTAAAATTAAAAATTAGCATAATCTCACCTAAATGCTTCCTTGACTTTATTTAAAACATTCACAAAATTGTTCCTGCTATCATGAACAGCGTTAGGCAATTGAGCAAAATTCCTTTGATATTTATCTTTCTCATCAACCTCACTATGATTTGAGTTTTCCTTTTCACTTGACAATTTAGCCTCGTTGTCTGTATCAGATATATTATTTTCCTTTGTATCATCACTGTTCTCAGTTTTAATATGTATTTCAGTCAGCACGGATGGTTTTAACAATGACACAGTTCTGTTTCTACTCCGATGTTGTATCTGGTGGTCCCTCAATTGCTGAGCCACATATCTGTTATCATTCTCTATACTTATATGCTTATTGCGTGCCTTCAACCTTTGTTGGTACAGCTCAAGTTCCCTTCGTAGGCGGTCCACCACTAATTTCTGTTGCAAAAAAAGGTGATGTTAGTAACATTGTTAGAAGCAATGATATGACAAAAAAACCTAAAGGAATCAATGTCATTTCGAATTACAGATTATTGATTGATTCATAATTTTATCATAAAGTAGTTGTGTAATATTTATTGATGTTTCATAATTTTGTAACAATTTCAGAAGTAATGGAGTAAGTTTTCTATATTTCTTTTGTGTTTTAAGTGTTTGACCTTAAAATTAACAGATCCAACTATAAAAATTTCATGTCAAACACAATGAGAATTTCATAACTTGCTGTAAATTAACTGTTTGTCTTTAACACAGGACATTTTAATTTCAGAGAGTAAATATATACACAAATTTCTTAAGCCCTAAGCATATAAACTTTGTGACCAAAATAGTAGTTTATAAACCTTGAAAGAAATATAATTTAATTCAGTACTAAACAGACATTATAAATATAAGTCTAAATAGTTCCAATAAATAACCCTGCATTGCCTTTATCATAATGTTGTTATGCAATATTATTTTGTAATAGTAATAGTTACTTATGATAGCAATCTAGATATAAATCCATATAACTTATAGTTTTGTCTAAATTTGAACTCAGATAAACTTCTGGCAATTGAATAAAAAACAATAAAATGGATTATAGTAACAAGACCACAACATCGACACACAAACTCTCGCTTTTAAAATAAAGTATCACAAATCAAACAAATTATACAAACAAACAATAAAAATAACTTACTTGAGTTTGAGAAATAGAAATTATATCTTTCTCCGCTTCTTTCACCTTAGACCTGAGATGAATGTTCTGTGAACAAAGTAAAATAATTTAATGCAAAGAATTTGTCTCAGATATTTATAGCTAAGAAAACAATGAATCTTTCTTACGTTTTCATCTTCTTGAAGGCGCGCAACCCAAACCTGAAAAAGTGTTTAATTATTAAATAATATAACTTTTCACTAAGAAAAAACATTAAAAAGTAATTCACAATCACTAGACCAACCTGATGAATTCGTATCGCATTTTTCAAGTCCGACTGCGTTTTGCGAATATCTTCCTTAATTTCATTAGACACTTCCATTCTTTTATATTACTTAGTAATCTAAATATAATAATTCATTTAACAGTTTATATTTGTATAATGTTTCAACTTTTATTGAAATTTAAAACAAAAACTACCGATATGTTCACGAAGAAACAACTCTTGTTTCGTAGTTCACACAAGGATGTATGTATCGCGAAATTAACTAACAAGCTTTCACAAACTTTATTACGTGCCGAATGTTCGGAAAATAATAAAATACAATTAATTTAGAGTGAAATAAAATTATTTTCATAGTTTAATTATGTGCCAAATAGGATTAAAATAAATTGCACTATAACTTTAGTCAACGAAGTGAGTTGAATTGAAATAATTACATACACACACATAGCAACATTTGTTGCACACATACATATGTTTCATCGCACTCATACTCTTCCGGAAATTGTCATTTGACATAACGACTGAAAATTCTCTATTACACGAACCAGATTCTACATTTTAAAAAGTTTAAAAGTATTGTGATTTTTTATTTTTATACTTTGTAAAAAAAATCGAGGTAGAATTAAAACTGTGGGAAATATAGAATTAAGCCTATTTCTCACTTTCTGTTACGCAATATAATGCATTAATTCGTAAGTGTATAATATACAAAACGCCAGTAAAATAGTAAAAATCCAAATGTATCACTTACATACAACATAATTAACCATAAGCAGTATTAATATTATTTTACAATATAAATCAACGTATAATCCAACGGAAATTATAGTATACGAGTTCTTTACGATACGAGCATACGAGTTTACAATTAATAAAAACAAAACTGCAATGTTGCCACACTTGCCACCTTTGATATATTTTCTATACCAATCTGTAAGAATCACTCATCATTCATTTCATTCGTCATTCAATCAAATCTGTGATCAAATCAATGTCGCCGATATCGTAGTCCCGGTATGTGGAAAAGTTGAAAATTGAAATAGGTTTTGTGTGGATTTAACAATTAGTAAATATAATCATTCGAAAATAAACATATACTACCTTTCATTATACTTATCAAGTTCTAAGTAAAATTGCCAAGACGCTAATCTAGTATTACATTCAAAAACGACATGTTCATCTTACAATTTTCGCAGCAGTGATTGGCGCCACACGACAAAACGTATTTATACGAAGGTATAAAATTCAAGAGAATTGAAAATGTCTGTTAAACGACAAGCGACTACTGAATTAAATCATGACAATTGGGATCAGGATGATCCTGCAGACCATGAAGAAATGGGAACGTTTAAAGTAGCTACTAAGGATCAGCTTGAAAAACGTGTTATCAGAACTGCAAAAAGACGAAGTACCCAACTCGGTGGAGACGAGGTAAACCTAAACATTACGTATTTTGCTGAAAGTTTATTGTTAGGTGCTGTATGTACTACCTAAGGAATTCATTAGTGTACCTACTGATAATAACAAGAACAATCTCAAGTTCATTCAATCACCTATTTGTACTTGGTCCTACCTTACAAGCACTAGCGTCCTGCTTATTTTTCTTTAAGATTAAGTATTTTGTCCTTATCAGTATAGTATGGAATAATAATAAGTTTAGATTTAATTTGTGGTGAAATCTACTCTACTACCCATACTGCTTAATTTGATGTAGTCTCTTGGGCTCTCAAGTGCTGAGACATTCTGTATTGGGTTCTTAAAGGTTAATATTAAATTGCCTACATTAATCTTTACCTCAAAATTTCCATTTCATTTCTAATCCTCACCATTATCAAACAAAGGAAAAAATGTTTCTATAGAAGCAATGTACCAAATGCTTGCTTGGAGACTCAATTTTAATAAGTATGCACATATAATAATTCCATCAGTTGCTTTACATTGTTCATTGATGATGATGAATTTACTTATCTATGAAACCTGATAAATCTTATCAGTAATTTAATTTCTGAATATTTCATTTGAATGTTTAGCATTTTTGTGTAAAATTTTACTAAACAAAAAGTCATATTAACTCGTCGAGTACCGTATTTATAGACACAAAGAACAATAGGTTGCGGTCACCGGTGACCGCTTGGTGTTTGACAGTTTAAGTATAGATCTGATTCTGTAGGTATATATTATAATGTTCGATATGTTCACTGACTCCCATCATTGAAAGAATTTATATGACTTGCTAAAATCTGTTGTAACCTATAATTATAATTGGATTGATGAAGTTTAAAGTAATCATATGATTTTTTTATTATCTGCCCAACATTTGAGTAAATCAAGTTCAGTTACTCAAAAGAATAATATGTGGGCTGTATCTTTTCTGCTTGACAGGGTCCAATTATATCATTGTACTTAATGTAAAATTATGTTGATATCCTTACATAACCAGTTTTATTTCTATCTTTCAGCCCAAGAAAAGTGTCTTCAGTGGATTCAGCGGCTTCAACAAAGCACAACCATCATCATTTGAATTTTTGTCGAAATTGACCAGTAATGGCCAGAATGGCAGTAATGACAGCAGCAGTGCAGCCAGTAAAGCAGATTCTTCAGTGACATCCAGTTTATTTTCAAGTAAACCTCTTGCCAGTCCAAGCAGTGGTATATTTGGCAATCAATCAAACGCTACTACTAGCAAATCTCTATTTGGATCACCTGCAACACAGACAGGCTCAAGTTCTTTATTTGGAATACCTTCTCAAAATACAAGTTCATCTACATTTATTACATCTAAAGCAGATTCAACTGTCAAAGATTCCCCATTTAAAATCCAAACTGTTACTAGTTCCACAGATAATTCTGACTCCACAACACCAACTTTAACTAAAACATCAAATTTATCTGTTACTACCATGAAATTTGACATTCCATCTAGCAGTGCTAATGTAACAAAATCGTTATTCTCTAACACAGCCAATTCTTCTTCACCCTTTAAAATTCAAACAACATCAAATGCTACTTCTGCTACTACTACAACAAAGAACACTTTTGGCATATCATCAAAACCAGATTTAAATTCAATTCAATCAGAAAAAAAAGCGGATGATACTAAGAATGATAAGAAAATGAAATATTATTCAAAATTAAAAGGCTTGAATGAATCTGTATCTGAATGGATAAACAAGCATGTGGTACAAACTCCACTCTGCATACTTACACCTATATTTAAGGACTATGAAAAGTATTTAAAAGAAATTGAAGATGAATACAAAGGTTCAGATGAAGAAGTGAATAAAAATTCAATTGCTGAAAATAAATCACTCTTTGGCAGTGATGCTAAAAAACCCTCAATTTTTGGTTTGCCCCCCAAATCAGATGCAGTTCCTGTTTTAACAACTCAAAGTAGTTCATCACCAGAAAAACAGAGCTCATTCTCCTTTGGTATTGGATCAAATACTAATACTTCAAGTACAATCACAACCAGCTCTGCAGGATTCTCTTTTGGAGCTATTACATCAAGCACAGCTAGTGCTGCTCCCTCTCCCTTCTCATTTGCCACATCTACAAGCACAACTGCAGCCAATGGAACTGCTGCACCATTTTCATTTGGAATTGGAAAGCCTTTTAGTTTTAATTCTAATATCAAACAAAGCACAGAGACTACTGTAGAAGCAAATGAAGAAGATGACACACCACCTAAAGTTGAATTTACACCTGTTGTAGAAGAGAATTCAGTTTATGATAAACGTTGTAAAGTTTTTGTTAAAAAAGATGGCAACTTTGTTGACAAAGGTGTTGGCACTCTGTACATCAAGAAAATTGAGGAAAGCGGGAAACACCAGCTTCTTGTCAGAGCTAATACTAACCTGGGAACCATTTTAGTTAATTTGATATTGGTGTCTGCTATTCCTACACAACGTATGGGCAAAAATAATGTCATGTTGGTATGCATACCCACTCCAGAATCTAAGCCTCCTCCAACACCAATCTTAATCCGAGTGAAGACTTCAGAAGAAGCTGATGAACTACTACAAACTTTAGACAAATATAAAAAATGATTTTGTATTATACTGATCTAAATCTACTGAGAATATTTTTTCTGTATGTATCTACCTATGGTTAATAATGATATTGTTTAAATGAGTAGCAAGTCTAGAATAGCAAATTTTATTCAGATTATGTTTTCCTTTTTTAATTTATAAGTATTTTCTACATGCTATTTTTAACACTGAAACCATATTATATTTAATCCAAGGTTGTATTGATATTGATAAAAAAAACAGATATTCGTATCGTCATGTAAACTTTTGTAATTCAATAAATCCCAGAAATGTAAAATACATTACAGTTGTTAAATATTATATTTGAGATTTATTGCAATTAGTTTTAGAATCCACAGTGTCATGGTCAACTAGGTACCCAAGTATGGGTATGCAGCACAACTTAGAAGGACCTGTAAAGTTAAAAACATACTAATGTTATACCGTAAAATGGGGTGGATAGGGATCGAGAGGTGAATAGAGACAGAAGAGGGGTGAATAGATATTGGGAAATTGTTCATAGTATCGATTCACCCCTCTTCTGTCCCTATTCACCTCTCGATCCCTATCCACCCCATTTTACCGTATGCCACAGTTCGCGTTTATTACTCAATCAGGTGTAAGCAGCTGAAGGCTTATCACATAGGCTGCTTTTTATCCGACGGGACCGTGGACGAAGCAGCTGACAAGCTAGTTATTTTTTAGGTTTTGGATTGTTTCTAAATAACGTAGGTAAGTATAGGTACCTTACCTACCTATTACCTAGAGGTAATGATCTTAATCTGGAGTCGAAATTAAGACGAGTAATCCAAAGAGTATAATAAGTATAGGGGTGCCCTCAGCCCGAATGACAATGCGAAACGACTTATTCAAAAACTGAAGTCACTTCTGGTGTATTCTTATGTAAGTGATGAGTCATGTCATGAAGATGAAAATTCATGCCACGGGAACATAGCTACTGAATTTAAATGTGGTTAGAAACTTAGATCAATGGGGAACTTATTGAAAGAAAGCAGTTAGGTACATGCTCAAACAGACTCAAAGTACCAACTATCAGGACCAAGAAGGGGTCCATAAGTGAGGGCCGGTGATCCATTCAACGAATAAATAAAACCTTACATCATTTTAATAAAACTTATATTTTATTTATAGCCTATTATACATTTATAAATACAGCAGTATTCATGGCACTGAGCAATTACATCAAGCCCATGTAACCAATTCGTAATAATTTCTAGGATTATAAGCATTTTTCTTACAAAATGATTTGTTTATTATACAATTTTCCCAATAAAAATACACACCAAAATAATTAAATCATCCTTATGACTATGCACCATTTTTGTTGCAAGACAAGTTATACTTTTAAATCAAAATTCATTAAGCATCCAGCAAATAAATTCATAAATTTAATTTAATTATTGCACAACTAAGTACCAGCAACAAAACTGTTAGTGGTCATTTGGCCTAATCCCATTTGAATTCTATGCATATGAATTTCTACATTATTTTGAAATAATTTTTGATGATGTGGTTCCAATTTCATTTTTATTTGTTCCATTGTACCTTGCAAAACACTTAATTCATATGCATTTTGATCAGAATCTGACAGGCTTTTAACTTGAAGCATTAAAGCGATAAGGTCTGTGATAAGGTCAATTAAGTTGGCGTCTTTAACTGATCCATTATTATTTTTTTCTACTAACAAAGATGCCTTTTCTCGGCATATTTCTCTCAGATGTGAAGGCACTAACATTGCAGCTAGACTAGGCTCTGGGGCTATTTGTTGGCAGTATTGTTGAACATCATTAATATAATCTTGTAAATCCATATTCATTCTTTCCAAGTCTATTACAACTGAAGCATATTTTCTTTCAAAATCTTCAGGCATCTTTTGGCCAAATGATTTTATTTTCTCAGCATCACTATTGTACTCCTTGAGTAATTTTATTTTATGCCGTTTAGCATTCAATATTCTTCTTAGTTTTACAATTAGCTCTAGAAGTGCATATGGGTAACTGCCTATAGTGTCTATTTGTTTAGCTATATCTGAACAACCAATAAGAGGATCACCTTGTGCGTTGTTGTTTGTAGGTTCATACAAGCTAAATATATCTTGGAGAACAAACCGTGGACGAAACTTCTTTGTTATACTAGAAAGACTTATAGTATCAGGAGGTTCATTGGATAGAACTTCATAATCTGGTACTGAATGTGTGCCAAGTCTTGGTCGTTCAAATGTTATCCTGTATGTATTATTAGATGTGTCTACTGCATCTATACAACCTGTAAATAAGCCATCTTGTGGTTTACGCAATCTTGCTGTTACTTTAGTCCCCACTACTAATTGCATTGGTATTTCATTTGGTAAATCTTTAACACTAATGTCAGCAGCTTTTCTTTGTTGTATAAATCTTATTAATTTGCGTTTTCTTTCCAATTCCTTACGCTCTTCATCAAAGAATGCCTGGGAACATCTCCGAGGTTTACCCATCATTCTTCGAATTTTAGACCATTGCACTTGTGTTAACTTACGGTTAGTAAGCTGTGGAAATGATTCTCTCAAACAAATCATAAAATCGTTTTCTCCATCAAATAAAACTTTGTCAATGTTACTGTAGAAGTACTCAAAACAAACCCATTTATGGGCTTTTGGTAACTTTAACAAGTTCCTTAACCTCATTCCAATTCTGTGCCCAGATCTGGTGTCAGGAGATTGTGTTCCAGTAGGTTCAGCCTTTTCATCATATTTATCATTTGATCTTTGAACTTTTGTAGGTGACTTCTGTTTCTTAGCACTTGATTGTTTGTTGGGAGTTTTAGCTATGATTTTAGGTGTCCGTTTTGGTGATTGACGTGGTGGTGAAGTATTAACAAAATCGTCAACAAATATAAATCTATTTTTCTTCCTTATTCGAGCTGGCATACCGCGAGCGTTAAGCTTTTGGACGGGTTCACTTGGTGCTGGTTTTGGCGGTAACTTAGTGCCAACTCTATGAAGGCCAAGCGCAGCAGGGCCAAAAGCTGGTGGTTCTTCCTCTTCCTCCGGAAAATCCATATCCATTGGTTCATCCTTAACTCTATACTGTGATCGGGGCGAAAAATCGTCCCCATCAGGGTCTCCTAAACAAAAGTAACACAATCAGTATATCACACACAATCAAAGAAACTTATCGAATAGTTTTATACATAAACAAAGGTTCGCAAGAGAATATTCGTAGATCAAAGCAAGTAAGATACTTTAATTATTACTTCCAAGGATAAAGTGATTGACATTTCGGCTGGAAATTTGAATTTTTTCAAATTTTGAATCTAGCGAACCACATTTCAATTTCAGCTCCAGAGGAGAACACATTTTAAAAATCTTACACAAACACTGGTACGTATGCATTTAAAAAAAGCATTTATTTCAACAACGTATTATTCATCGAAATATTCAAATATTTAAATAAATTACATTATAAACAAAACTTACTTTCTGATTTATCCGCCATGTTGATGTAGTAAATTTGATTTGATTTGAAGTTATTTTGAAGATGAGAGCGCCAAGAACAAAATAAGTTCGGATACAACACTAGGAAGTATAACAAAATACAGCGGACAAAGAACTGGTAATAATTTATTATTAAAAAACATAAACCTGTTTAAATTTTAAGTTCCTACTTATTTACGTTTTATATTTTAAGTATATTTCAGAAATGATATTTTTTTCAGATTTATATTGTCGTAGCCGAAGATTCGTCCCTCCCTATCTATGGTACTGTTTTAGTGGCAGAGACAGAGTAAGGAAGTTTAGAGGGTAAAAAAAGAAATAAATTCTATTTCCACAGTATTGTCTCCTAAAAATAAACTTTAACATTACGCAAAAAAAAAATAGTTTTAAACGTTTTAAAACAAAAAAAAATTTACACAAGTGGTTCATCCGTTTTACTCTCGCCTTGTGCAGCGCCTTGCAATTAAACTAGGAGTGCGAGCGGGCCCGGACGGGCCAGGGTTAATGTATCGTGTTGGTACTGTATAATAAAAATTGATTCATACAAAATGTATGAAACATTTATGGACAATTGTCATTTTTTCCCGGATTTAATGTTACATAATGTTTTAAATGAATCAATTTATAGTATTATACAGTTTAATAACCATACCCCGTTGGGGTCCATTCAACGCACGTCTAGACCACGTTTGATCGTCTGTTCTTGCAAAATAAAAATATATGTAACAGATTAAATTCGTGCCTCTGAGGCACGTCCACAGCCGGACCCTGGGCACAGCTCGCTCTATTCAGAATCATTTCAAATTCGTACCCCGTCCGGGCCACGTATCGGCCGTACCCTGGCCCGCTTTATTTTTAACGAGATTTGTCCCTTAAAGGTTTTGATGTAATAATTTTTTTCAGGATAAAATGATGACATATAAGACAATAATAAAAATAATGGCTCTTTCTGATATTATTCTAAATAGTTCCGCTGCAAATACATCTTACTTTGAAGTTACAGCTTGTTATAACAAGACTTTAACACGTAGTATAAATAAACCGAGAGTAGTAGATGTTATTATTGGATCAGTAGTTCATCTTTGGTGCCATTATTGGTGAATATTTTTTCTTTATTTTCTTGTGTGAAAAATATTAGATTTTTACGGCGTGCGGGGACGGATTACCTCCAAAACAGATAGATTAAGACGGATTAAACAATCGGCGTTACCCATGTAGAATCGCAATACTAGAGAAATTACAAGTGTAGTGCCGACCTCTTGGAGATTTGGGCCTCCGATAACCTCACACATTCTCACTTAAATTACAAATGGATATACAAAGAAAAATAGAAACTAATAAAAAGGAATAACAATATGACATGCAAATAACGTAATTAGTATTATTTGGTACCTACCTACCTTTGTATAGAAAGGACGAATTAGGTGTTGCATTGGGCATAGTATAAAGAAAAGGGCTCTTTTCTTTATACTATGCATTGGGTGGGTCCATGAGCGGCCATGACCGCTTTTATCATCAGGTGATCCGCCTGCTCGTTTGTCTCCTATTCTATAAAAAATAGGTATGGTATGTAAATGTATGACGTATTTCTACATTTTATATTAATGACTAGTTTTATATTAATGATCAACATTTATTAAAAAATTTCAGTGACAGTAATGGGAATTATTATCCGAAATGGTGGTTTTACAAACCAAGAGGGGAAGAAAATCAAAAAGATTTACTGAGAGAAATTTTAATGCGTGATTTATCAGACAAAGTGTCAATAACTCCAACTCACAAATTAAATATTTATGATTTTAATTTGAATAATTCCGGAATTTATACGTGTAAATGTTCAAATATATTAAAAAAAGATAATGTTTTTTTATATATTCTTGAAGATAAGTATATATTGTACCTACCTACCATTAATGGCATTTCCATCTTTATCGATTCCGATTCGAAATTACTTAGTAATTTATTTTGATGTTTACTTAACTGCTATAAAATTTATGATTTTATTTATCTAACAGGTATCATAGAAGTTGATGTTGCTTCTAAAGTTGGAACATCTACTCAGTGGCATGAATACAAAAAAGCTTATCTTTTTCCTATAAATAAGAAATTAAAAGAATCTAAAGAAGAACCTTTTAGGTCCATACGAAATGTTTTTAATAAAACTTTTAAATTGGCAACTGTTTGGGATAATTGGAGTGAATGTAAAGAAAATGACCACCAGAAAGGTGTGCGAAGAAGATTAGGCAGATGTCGTTTACAGCCTAATGAGATAAGAAAGAACTATGACTACAATTTTGGAGTAAGTGCCAATAAAACAAATAGGTAATGTTTGAAGATACAGGCTTTATTTTCCTCAATTAGATACATAATCCAATTTTCAGATAAAACCAGTGGAGACTTCTGTTAAAACTGCAAAGTCTATTCTATCCGATGGTTATGATATCGCGTGTCGCTCATTAGAACTTAACAATACGGTTCCAAAATTAAGTGAAATCACTAGAAATATCCCAGAATTCGAAGAAGAAGAAGCCTGCAATTTTACAAAAGGAACTGGTATTGTTTATTATTATCGTAGAAATCATTCGTCTTTACAAAAAGCCAACTTTTATCTGTACCAACAGATTTATGACATAATATTAGTACCTATAATAATTTAACTATTGTTTATTTAGCAAAACATAAGGTCACTAAGTTAAAGAATAAAAACAAAACCATGAAACAAGTTGAAGAAAATGGTCACGTAACACTTACATGTACTGATGCAAATCCAAATTTAGAATTAAAATGGTTCAAAGATACGAAATTACTAAATTCTCTATTCAGGTACTTACTTTAATAACAAATAAACTATGTAAAACATAGGTACTGTCCTTATTTATTTACATTTTAATTACATAAAGGTAAATTTTCAGAAATAAAAAGTGCAAGAATGAAGAGGAATCATCTCACATATCAGTCGACACTAATAATTCACTACATATTTTACACATCACTAAAAAAGAGGAAGGTAATTACTCTTGTCAGTCAGATGACAAAAAAGTACAAGAATTCGAAATAAAAGTCGTATCAAAGTCGAAGCTGCTAAATCAAGGTGACTTACTTACACATAGTAACGTCACGCCTTTTATTCTCCGAAGAGGTTTTCAAAGCATAAAAGGCGTGGCAGGCTATTGCCTATTTTTCACAAGCAAGTTACTAGCTGGCTGTTTGCCGTACCTCCATGTCACATGGCATGTACCAAGACTACACAAGTCACCAATTCCCTGCACTCTACCGACGCAATGTCTTCTTGGATTCTTATCCAATAACTGATCTGTTTGCGGATAGATGATTCAATCGGAATATCTGAAGTAGGTAGTGTAAAAAATTTACAGAGAAGGAACTAAGCATTTGGGTGTGGTGTGGTGTGTAGCCACATTCGTATTTAGGTGTGGTTGGTTCCTTTTCTTACATTTTACTTCAGTTATCTATTACCTAGTAACTACTTATATGCGTTGTTTTATTTTTTTAACGTTTGTTATTTTGTAAGATAAAAAGTAAGTTGAAAGATAATTTAAGAAAAGAAAGAATTGAAAGAGAATAATAATATAAATAGTATAATATTTATATGAAACCCCATAATGTTTTGTCTGACCTACAGATTGCATCCGAGACCCCTGGATCACATATTTCACCCTTGTCGAAAAAACAATAAAATTTTAGTTTTAATTTTTGTATGTAACTTAGCAAAATTATAAATGGATAATATCATTTTCATAATCAGTTAGGGTTTTAGAATTCCAGATTTAACTACCGCAAATAAATTATTTTGTTCCAGAATTTATTCGATATTCAATTTATTTAGGATTTGTACTTTCATTGGCAATGGCGTGTTACTGCGCAGGAGTTTGTATTGCTTTTCATCGAAGAACATCGTTTGTGGATCCACTTAGTAAAAACAGAAAAGGATACGAGCACCACCGTTTTCATTGTGAAAGGGAGAGTTTGCTTAAATAAATAGCTAATCTCTCTAATGAAATAATTACTTGATTTCGTCGATTGGTGGCAGTGATCAGTGATAATGATTCTGAGATTAGTTAATAAGTCTGAAATTCCATAAATTTTTCAACTTTATACTAATATTTTTAGAAAATTTAAAGAAATTCACGACTAAAGTTTGTCGTTATCTGTAATGATACTCCACGTTCAGCCTCATGCGAATATTTGTCAGGAACTACAATTATCAAAATAACCAATGCTATTATGTTATTTTCATGGTAATTAATAAAATCGACTGAAATCATTAAATTACTAATGACAGTGACAATTAGGCGGGTCTCTATGGAGTCCATAGTTGTCTCTCTTGCTGTCAGACTGTTACCAGTCAGTCACTCGAAGTTTGACAGCTGACGCGTAACTTGTGATTGTGAGTGTCAGTGTATTTTTTGTGAATGAAACTTTGTAGTTTGTACATAAAATGAAAAGTTTTCAAACTTGATCAATATTAATGTTATTATTTTTCTTGGTAGCTATACTATTAATACAAAATGAATTATAGTAACCTGTTTTTGTGTACTATGTTCATAATCTTCTTCGTACAGGAAGTTCAAAGTAAGTTTTGCACATTCTTTTTTACACGACTTTATTTATCAAGGTAAAGTGAGAGTTGTATAACAATAGCTGTCTAGGCATTAATGCAGTGGAAGTTGTTGGGTGGTACGGACATATTGTTAATCAAACCTTTCATTGGTAGCCTAATTATCATAGTTATTGGTTCATTGTAATTAGAAAGTTTCTTTTCGTAATACGAATTTCTTATTTTACAGGTTTACACAAACGTTGCATAAGATGTAGATCACGAGGAGACATGGGGACATGTGGTGATCCCTTTCCTATAAATGTGACAGAGACTATAGTGGAACAAGGGCTTCATGTTGTGGCATGTCCCTCGGGATGGTGTGGCAAGTTACTTGAAGGCACTGTGGGAGCATTTCGTACTGATGGTGGGTTTAAGAATATAAAATAACATTAAGAATTATTCTAATTAGTATGGTCCATAATGAAAATAAGACCAAGTTTTTGTTTGCATGCCAAAAAGTATACAAATATCCAGTAAAAACCCAACCAACCTTTGAGTCATACTCTAGACCGAGAGTTTAAAACATAAAAACATTTGTTTTACAGACTATGGTACTGCAACTGAGAGAATGTGCCTTCAGAGACCCCCAAGTGATTATGAAGAAAGATGTGCATACACAATGTGGAATCGCAAGAAGGTTTACATGTGTTTCTGTAATGGTGATCTCTGTAATGCTGCAACTGGAATCTCAACATACCCGCTGACACTTATAGTAGCAGTAATAATACCAATATTTAATTATTTTATTTGAAACTGACTTAAGACTATGTGATACATAATTAGTGTTCTACATTTTTAATATGAGATGTTTTAAATAGTTCTACCATTCAAATTGAGGCCAAATTGTAAACTAAATCCTATTATCAGCTAAAAGGTCAGAAATGTTAGAACAACATTAGTATCATGAAATAAAAATGCAAATAGTAGTACTGAGAATATATAATACTGAGAATAAATGAATATGGGTCATTTTTTACTAGTATTAGATAAGTTTATGTCTTCACATCACAAGTATTGAATAATATCATTTGACTGCTATTATCTTCTCTATTTCCTTTACTGACAATCTTTTAAACCAGTCTTTTAAAACATGAGTTCCTTATCAAATTCTAAACTTGTTAAATACTTTTTAATTAAAATGGTTGTAGATATATTAGAATGTATTGACTGTTAACCCATGGTATGTGTTTTCTATTGTGTCTCATATACCAGCACTCCAGAGGTTAAACAATTAGCAAATTTTTCATATGCTCAAAGATATATTATGAAACTTCTATTTATACGTACTTAAGTTCAATTTCAATACTCTGAAAACTGTACTGTGAGTGTACATATATTTGCAATAAATTATAATAAGTATTATTATTATAATATGTATTTGTATATAAAAAGAGATGTATACTCAATTTACATAAAACCTTTGAGGTTTTCTAGTACTTAAGTTCTATAAAATTGTGTTCAAACCAATCACTGCCTTGTATACTAAAGGAGTAAATGTATAAATGTTATATACATTAAATTGTATAACTTATATTTTATGAATGTTGTTTGTGAGCAGGTTAATAATGGTAGCTGTAGATCATTAAGGTAGATAGATAAAATATTAAAAGAATTTGATTCATTTCGTCCATAAATATACATTCCAATTAATAACTGATAACATTTGTTAGCAATTAGTGCTTAATTACTGTTAGAGTGACATTATTGTGTCGGTTTAAAATTGAAAGGAATAATTAGTACATTCTAAAAGAAAAGAATCTCCTTTATCTGTTATTTCTGTTAGTATATTTTTATAAAACATGACTGTATTTTTGCTAAATCTTATGAATGCCTATTTTCCAAGTTGTCGTTTTTTATGTGATTACCTTAAATTCAAGTACAGGGTTATGTGTAACGAATGTATCGAATATTATTTGTATATATTTGTCTCAATTATATTATAATTATTCTCGTTGAATAAGTGCGGCAGAGATAGGTAACATTATGACATGTATCTTATCAACTTAAGACATTGGTTTGTGAATGTGAAATAAAACTCAATATATTTAGTTGTGTATAATATTAATGACTTTTTTATTGAGTATTTTTATTGTTGTATACAAGTATAATAATAATAATTGCAATTTTATACGTATTGTTTTATTGGTCGTCGAGGGAATGCTAAGGTCGGTTGTAAGGCCACGTCTGACGTATGCTACCTAATCTATGAGGTTTCAAATTGTTCTCGATTCTAAGTTCCTGGTTGACAAGGAGTGACTCGATATGAGGTATATCGTCGAAGTAATATAGACCATGGCGGCTTGCCCTCTTGACTGCTGCTATTGCTTCCGATCCTTCTAATAAGTAGGGATCCAAGGATTCGGCGTCTGAAAGAAGAAAAGTAGGTAAGAGTATATCTTTCGGTGCCTCATCTGTGTGTTTTGAGGCAAACGTTCACCAAGAACATATTCACAATATGAACTTCGGTACGGGTTGGGCCGAGAAATGTTTTACCTGATAATACCTCACTGCGGCGTTTGCTAGCAGCAAACCTTGGCGGGTTAAACGGTGGTATGAACAGTCCTTCGGGCCACAGCGACTCAGGGTCGGGCGAGTCTACTTTGTACGGTGATGGTGGGAGTACGGGAATGGCAACATCTGGAAGCATTAAAACATCATGTTTGAACTGAAAAAATTACGACACGAACGACTGCCCTAATCACAGACAAGGTACGCGCTGTTCTCTGCTGGGTACTATCCTCACACATGCACCTATGAGTCATACCTACCTAACTATATATTAAGTAAATTACCCACACCTCTGCTCTGGCGTGTAGGTAATGTGTAACGTTATCATACCCATGTAATTGTTGTACTGCCAGGGTGATCCATTTATTGAGTTGTCGCGAAAACGGTCTTCGTTGCTGAATGGTATCGTCGGTTTCACTCGCGGGTACCCAGACCCTCGAGGCGGTGGCGGAGCTGAAATTGATGGACAGGTATCAACTTGACACTCATTATGAAGGTACCTACCTACTTGTGAAGCTGTGTAGCCCATGGCCATAGTTTCTTTTTGTGGGACAAGCCCTCTACAACCTCCCAAAACCGCTGCATATTGACCATAGTTTCACAAATCAGACTGGATGAAAGTGAAAGACAATAGCGTGGTCTATGTAGTGTCTAAAGTTTCATAGAAAGTAGGTACCTAGGTACCTACCTCCTGTTCGCCCGTGCTCACATAACAAAGCGTAAATTAATGTCAAATTAAAAGTTCACACGAAATGACATTTTACTATCACCCCGTCAAGATGACTTGCAAAGTTTAGCTATTATACTTACTGTTAACTTTACCTAGTACCTACTTATCTATCTATTATATTAAAAGATCAATGTGATACCTAGGTACATAAGTTTGTACTTTCTCAGTTGCTTATTCTTTTTTATGTTTTGCCTCTTAGAATACACTACTTTATTTCTGTTAAATAATAATTTGGTCTACATGATCTAGGTACCTACACCAGATAGGCGTATACAGTATGCTTTCAAAAGTAGGGTAGGTTGGTAAGTTGTTAACCCACAAATCGTACTCAATGGAAACCACATCGAACCGTTCGTTGAATGAATCCTACATTCATAAACCTTATAGGTACTTACCTATGTATAGTTACTATAGTTAAGGTTCTTTCCTACTTACGCGGTAAGCTTCGGAACGATGATTGTCGGTTGTAATTTCGCTTTGCGAGCAATGGCAGGGGGTCACCGACCCCGTGCGTGAAGCTCCGTGCAGGTGTATTTATGCTGACGTGAGAAGCGAACTTAGTTCCCGCTGACACTTGCACTGCTAGTTGCACTAACAACAGTGCGCCGAATGTGCTCTTGACAACTGTGTTTGATGACATCTGCAAAAAATATATGCTTCTGTAAGTAAATCAGTTTTAAGACAAAGTTAAAGGGCACTTTTGAATTTTTAGATGGGTATTTCGTGAATAATGTCGTGGTGGCCCGGAGGTTTAAGACGCCCGCTTCTCATACATGAGGGTGCGGGTTCGAAACCTACCAACGGCAAGTACCAATGTGACTTTTTCCGAGTTATATGTACTTTCTAAGATTATTCAGACACCACTGATAAACGGTGAAGGAAAACATCGTGAGGAAACCTGGGCTTATAATTTCTAATTATAAGTTTGTAATCGCCAACCCGCATTGAGCCAGCGTGGTGATTAATGCTCAAACCTTCTCCGTGTGAGAAGAGGCTTTGCTCAGCAGTGGGCATTTATACTTTACTAGCTTTTACCCGCGGCTTCGCTCGCGTCACAAAATGATAAAAAGTAGCCTATGTGACGTATACCAATACATACAGCGCCATCTATACCAATTCTTTTGTTTTTCCTCGAGAATATCAAATTTTTCCGGGTTAAAAAGTACCCTATTATTTATTCCGGACTTCTAACTTTACGTCTGCAAAAATTCAAAGAAATCGGTTTAGTAGTTACGGCGTGATAGTGGAACAAACAAACAAACAAACAAACTCACTTTCCGATTTATAATATTAGTAAGGATAGTAAGGATTACTAGCTTTTACCCGCGGCTTCGCTCGCGTCACAAAATGATAAAAAGTAGCCTATGTGACGTATACCAATACATACAGCGCCATCTATACCAATTCTTTTGTTTTTCCTCGAGAATATCAAATTTTTCCGGGTTAAAAAGTACCCTATTATTTATTCCGGACTTCTAACTTTACGTCTGCAAAAATTCAAAGAAATCGGTTTAGTAGTTACGGCGTGATAGTGGAACAAACAAACAAACAAACAAACTCACTTTCCGATTTATAATATTAGTAAGGATAAGCTGTTGATGATGAGATGGGTATTTATACATTTATCTGGATCTAAGTTTCTTTATGCATTACAATAATTTGTTCTTATAAAAAAAAACATCTAAGTATAGGCACCTAAGTACTTAGTTTATCAGGTTATATAGGTACCTAACCATATTGTGATAGGTAGCATAGGTAGGTAAGTACCTAGCCTACCTAAAGAGCTTTAAGAGGACTGTCACAATACCCAGCGAGAGTCCAGGCAGTGACTGATTAAAAGCCCATTAAGGTGTCAGGTAATATGAAGTACTTCCTCCTACTTGTAGGACGCCGTTATGTCAGAAGTCATTTGTTGTATCGAGTCGGCAGGCAAAGATCTATGTCCCAGGCATATAAAAATTACGTAGGTGTTTTATATTTTTTTCAGCAATGACACATTCTGATATTAGTTCGGTAACAATAACATGACTTAGAGGCTTCACAGACACGTGTACTATATTTCTAAAGAAAATGTGTGATGTTGTGTGAGCAATGTGCGCTAAACCCTCAAAATCTGACTTCATACAGGGTATTACTCAGTACCTACCTACTCACCAATAACTGGTAACAACTAGACGAACATAGCTGTTAAACTGTCAAAGGACATTAATTTCATAGAAAATTCGAGTTAAAATTGCTTGATGTCCGATTCGCGTGTGGTCACGGCATATTTCATTCATAAATAATGGCTCTAAATGTGGCTAATACCTCTTTACTCAGTATAACTGTTTCTATTATTGTTGCAATTTGTAACCCTTGAAACCTGTATCTAATGTAATTTGTAGGTAACTGCCAAGGATTGATATTTTCAAAATATTCGTATTTTTTATAAGCCAGCCACCACCTCCCAAAACCGCTGCAACTCCTGTACGCTGTCTGCACGGGTCTACTGTAGATACAACCATGAAAACACCGGAACACTGAAGTCTTGTGTGTCTCAGGAAAAGGATCTTAAATTCCGCAACGAAATAAACCAAAAGATATCTAGTAGGTACCTAATTAGAGCAGAAGAAAAAAAAGAAAGTTTGTACTTCCCAAATATTCGTATTTATAATGATTAAAAATGTCTATAGATCAAGGTATTATAATTGTGAAAACTGCGAATGTATAATTTTGTACGTTCTGAAAAAAGATTTGAATACATCCAGCTATAGGTAACTAATGGTTTCATATAATTATGTTGGCGTATCTTTAGCTATCTAAAATACCAACCACAGATCATAACTAATAAAATGAGTCTAGAAAAAGCTTTTTAAAAGACATTGATATGTTTTGGGAATTTATTGGCGATTACGTTTCAATTAAGTAGGATAGGTCTCTACTTGTTCGACGTTAGATATTTAGTACCTATCTGTGGACACAAACAACATATTAATTACATACGTTTATGTAATCCACCATACCGAAGTGTTATAGAATGACATAATAAAGTTCTATACAACTTGCTAAGTGGGTGTACTGTATAGGCAGTATAGGTCGATCGATTACCTACTGACTGAGCTAGCGCTCTGGTGAAAGATCTTTTTGTTGGACACTTCGTTTACATAATGATTGGTAATATTCTCATGAATAATGGTCTGCTTGCTTGTCACAGTAGCCATCACATATTATACCTATATTTAGTTGTTAACACATAACATTTTACTTTATTGTTAGAGCTTTGTTTTTTAACACAATACACATTTTAGGGATTCTGCTAAATAATTTGTAATTGCCATTTTAAAAAAATCTTCTATATGTTCGTCGTAAAGAAGAAGGAGATCACGCCCATGATGGTTTTGTTTGGACCATTTTAAAAGCTGAAGCAACAGAACTTATGAGATCATATTTCTAAGATGATGATAGACTAATGTCTATCATCTGCCTCGTTGGCCGAGTGGTCGCAATTGCGACTGCCGGGTAAGGGGTCTCGGATTCGATTCCCGGGTCGGGCAAAGTATTACTGGGTTTTTAAATAATTCTCAGTAGTAGCACGGAGTCTGGAACTGGGCCCGGTATATGGCAATAGGCTCACCCCCTATTACATGGGACTCATAACATAAATAGTAAAAAGTGGGTGTTACATTGTACAGTGGTATAATGTGCACCTCTGCCTACCCCTTCGAGGATAAAAGGCGTGATGTTATGTATGATAGACTAATGTATTTTGAGATAAGTTAATAAATCACAGATTCAGCATGTTGAAAACTTTCTACCTAGTTTATTTACAGTCATCGATAACTTAATGGGTCAATACATAGAAAGTAGCTATAGCAACTAACAAAAAACCAATTTGGTGGCACAATTCTTCGCTAGTCGCCACCGTGCCTACCATATCTGATCGCTACAAGGAAAATTCATAGTCATCATGAAACAATGTTTTAATAGGCTGCGGCACAGTGCGTTAATATACGGTTCTAAGGCCTGATGAGCAACATGCCAACAATGGTATACTTATACTAATATTTAGATTACCGTCGGTCCATTTAGACGTGCAGCGTGCTCTCACGCTGGCGCGGTTGCATCACAATGACTGTCGTTTGAATTGGACTTGCGCCGGAGTACTGAGCGGTGGCGAAACGAAGACGAGCGAACATTTCATCTGGTTGAGGGACCTGCTTGTACTGGCTTTTATTGTTATGAGATGACCAAGTTACTGCGTTTGAGAGAAAGAAGTAAAGGACAAAATTGTGTTTCACATGTTTTGAACATGTGAATCATTTTGATTAGTCTACCGTCCAACCGGATTATAAAGAGGGATCCTGCATCATGTCTGCGCCTGCGTTCAAAATCGATATTGATACCAGCAATCAATAAATAAATACTTATGAGGGCTACCAATATTTCATCACGATTCCATGATTCATTGTGAGTAATGGCTGAAGTTAGAATGTTAGACATTGCAACTTGGTATCAACATCAAGAGATGACGTATTTGTGATACATCATCCCTTGTGGTGATGACGTAGGTAGGCAGATATTTGTTTAGGTTACCTACATAATAGGTATCTACATTTCATAAAGTTCATCTATGACAGTAAAGCCTCGTATCCACTAGGCAACATTTGACGCGCGACATGTTGCTCAACATGTTTCGCAACTTGTTGAATGTTGACGCGGAACATTTGTTTACGATGGAAGTGGTATGAGAGTAGGATGGAGGAGGAGAGATACGAGGATACGAACAACTAACGATGTACTGAAACAAACAACAAGCTGCATGTCATGTTGCGCGGCAGCTGGCAACGTCGCGCGCTGTTGTGCAGCGCTGCCGTAAGTAAGTACATGTTGAGATTCACGTGTCGCGCGCCACATGTTGCCTAGTGGATACGAGGCTTTAAACTCAAGAATGCATGCATGTTACAAATATCTATATCCTTATACTATTATAAATCTGAAAGTGAGTTTGTTTGTTTGTTTGTTTGTTCCACCTTCACGCCGTAAGTACTCAACCGATTGCTTTGAATTTTTGCAGACTTAAAGTTATAAGTCCGGATTAAATAATAGGGTGCTTTTTATCCCGGAAAAAATTGATATTCCCGAGGGAAAACAAAAGTATTAGTATAGATGGCGCTGTATGTATTGGTATATGTATGTTACATAGGCTACTTTTTATCCTTTTGTGACGCGAGTGAAGCCGCGGGTAAAAGCTAGTTTGAATATAAATCCAGGACAATGGAACCCTAAAGTGTAGACAAGTTTAAAGACGATGACACGACACGACGCGCGACGCCACAAAACAATAAGGAGCAATTTAGTTTTTCTAAAACGCAAATTAAGTATCTAGTTCCGCTATGTTTTGTTTATTGTTTAGATAAGATAAAGGAATTGTGGTTGGCGTAATGTATTAAAAACAACGGCACTTAAGTAATGATTTTACTGGTATTTTGTCACCGCGTACTAACATTAAAGATAACTGTTATAAGTAGTTAAACTTAGACTGGAACATAGAATGTTTCTGATTTAAAATAAAATTCTAAATTAAGACACCTATGTTTAATCTAGGTAGGGACTATATAAGTAGGTCCATAGATGAATAAGATACTTACCGGATCTGAACTT